AGAGGAAGATACCTTTACAAATGGAGATTTCCCTTATAAATGTAAATGTTTGTCTGGCAACTCCTTGCAGACCATCCAGAGAATGTGGCCAGAGAGACATAAGATGGGCTTGTTGATGCCTTTTCTATTGTAACATCTATTTTACATTATATTACAGCCATCAGATAGAAGATCTGTTCCAGGAAGGAGTTACAATGTCAAATTCTTTAGGCAGTTAGTGGGAGAGGTCAAATGTCCTCAGAGAAAACAACCAAGGTAAAGAGATATATTTCAGGGTGGCCAAATCTTGATCTCCCACACCAGACAAGGCGGGGGGGGGTCTCATCACGACCTACCAGGCCCCAGGCACTGCCCAGTGACACCCATTGCTGGCACTGGGTTTGTTCCTCAGGGCACCTGGTGCCCATCTGAGATAGAGGCTGCTCTGGGGTTTCTGATCCCAGGCGGCGGACCCCGCCCCAAGTGGGACTCCTGATTACAGAGACTGGCTGCCCTGGGAAGGGAGCTTCAAGACACACACACACACACACACACACACACACACACACACACACATGCCCATGTGCACACACCTACGAACAGGCACATACAAGGTCACTGCGGAAGAGCAGGTGGGACGGGAGCGATGGTGCGGCCATCTGCCAGGGGCACCTGCCCCTCCATGTCTTCCTCCTCCTAGCTTTCTTCTCTCAATCTAGTAAAGCCTGCCCTCCCACTGCATCTTGAGAAAGGATTCATGAGCCTGGCCGTCCTGCTTCTCCCAGCACCCTGGGGGTGACGTTGGTCTTGACTGAGCCTTCTTCCAGGCCGTGGGCGTGGTTTGCCCAAGCAGGATCTGAACGTGACAGGTGGCAGCCAGGCACACCATCTTACTGGTCCTGAACCCAGGCATGGAGGTCACTCCCCAGGCCTCCCAGCTTCCGTCTGAGCAGCCCTGGGTCTGAGTGCAGAATCCTCAGCATGAAGACATATGCCAAGGAAAGCATTTTGACTTTGCAAAGCGGCACCACCCTCCTCCCAAACCTGCATTTGAGCTGTGGCTTGTGGTCGAAGCTCAAGTGAGAGATGTGACTCAGGCATTTCCAAGCAGCCCGGTGAGCTGAGTCCCCTTCTCCACTGCAGCCAGCCTCCTCATTCTCGTGCTCCAGGAACCAGAATTATGGCTGCAAAGGCGCAGAAGGTGCCTCTCAGCCCCAACTGGAACCCAAACTCAGGGAGCTGTGACGGGAGTTCTCAGGACACGGCATCGTTAAAGGGAAATGTGTCTGGGGGGCGTGGATCTGGGTTGTGGGACAGGCCAATGCACCAATGGGGCCACTGTGCAGAGGAGGGACCTCCTGCTTACTCAGACCCCTTACTGTGAACACAAAGTCCAGTGGCACTGAGAATGAAAAAGCTCACAGCCAAGAAACGTCCCATTGCTCCGTGTTGGGGGAGCCTCAGGGGGGACTTGTAAGGCTGCTCAGAAAAGGGGCCCCAGGAAGGCAGCTGAGGGCACAAGCCCCAGGGCCATCACCACAGCCCAGTCTGAAATCAGGCAGCAGGGTGGGGGGTGGGGTCCTGAGGCCCTGGCTGCAACCTGGAGCCAGCAGGAGCCAGTGGACACTGTCCAGGTGTCATCGCTAGCCCGTCATTCCAGCCTCCACCCGGAATTGCACTGGGACCACGTCCCCCGGGGCAGATGGCTGCTCTCAGAATGGGACAGGAATTCTGCCACCTCTTCAGAATTCAGAGATGGCTGTGATCCAGCTGCTTTTCTACACCCACTACAGGCCCCCACCACTCTGATCACTGTTTCTGAATGTATTCCAGTGTGTCCACATACTTCACCATGAGGAAACCCAGGCAGTCAGGCAAGTTCTCATGCAAGAAGCTTTTGGAAGCAAATTTCAGTGGGAGAACAAGGGGATGATAGATGAAGCGTGTCCCCCAACCTGGGAGACATGCACCAGATGTGCTGAGCAGCACTCATGGGCTGGCACTCCCACCAGGAAGCTCATATTCAACAACCCCGTGGGTGGCGTCGGGATCGAAGCTCCAGGAACATACCTAAGAGCCCCCTGGTGCTGGTCTTCCCAATGCCAAGTGCAGCATGGTTTCCATTACACCAGAGTGGAGTGCTGTGAGGCTTCTAGGACGGTTTTTGTAGTTCCTAAGCCATCCGCTAGGATCTGCCATGGAGAGACACACAACTCATGTGATGCAGTGACAGCGTTTGTTAGTTTCATGTCTGTTTGGAGCACAGGTAACTTCGTCCAGAGGTTGGGTACACTGTTCTCTGCAGCAAATTGAACTTCTTTCCACACTTGCATTTTCCTCTTATTCTGGCTGTAATTACTCAGATTCCCTTTGAATCCCAAAGTTTGCCAAACACCATCCCATAACAGAGTCCCACCCACCTCAACGGTTTACAAGTGTCCCTCCGACACCCCCCTTCAGACATCAGCCTCAAGACAGCAGAGTGAACGGGAGGCCTCCACAGTGCGCAGACCAGCTGTGAGGGGCTCGGTGCAGTAAGACACGACCCTCTCAGAGCCTCAGCTTCTGTGTTTAGGGGCACCCACCCTAAGTCAGACCCTGTTCCGCAAGAGTTCCCTCTCAGTTGTCTCAGCCCATGTTTTGAGCCACAAACCTAGAATGAGCCTAAAAAGAGATCTCAAAATCCAAGCCCTGGGCTGGCCCGGTGGCTTAGCGGTTAAGTGCACACGCTCCGCTGCTGGCAGCCTGGGTTCGGATCCCAGGCGCACACTGACACACGGCTTCTCTGGCCATGCTGAGGCCGCGTCCCACATGCAGAAACTAGAAGGATATGCAACTGTGACATACAGCTATCTACTGGGGCTTTGGGGAAAAAAAAGGAGGAGGATTGGCAATAGATGTTAGCACAGAGCCGGTCTTCCTCAGCAAAAAAAGAGGAGGATTAGCATGGATGTTAGCTCAGGGCTGATCTTCCTCACCAAAAAAAAAAAAAAAAAAAAAAAAAAAAAAAATCAATCCTCTTGAACCCGCCTCCATGAGACCACTGGTGTCGTCTCTAACATCGCTGTGCTCCAAGCCAGACCTAGGATGTGGCCACCAATTGGCTTCTTCCCTGAAATGTAATTTGACAGTTACTTTCAACCTCCCTTTACTGTTTCTCCAATCTCACAGGTGACTAAGAACAGCAGTTAAAGTGCACCCAAGTCAAATGTTAGGAAGTCCTCAGGCTACGCCTGCCCTTATTTTGAAGCTCTGTGCTTACAAACAAAGTCAAGAAAATAACTGCTCTTTTAAGAAGCAACAATTGGGGGCTGGCCCTGCGGCATAGTGGTTAAGTCCAACACACTCGGATTTGGTGGCCCAGGTTCAGGAGTTCAGATCCCACGCACAGACCTACACCACTCATCAGCCATGTTGTGTTGGTGACCCACATATAAAGTGGAGGAAGACTGGCACAGATGTTAGCTCAGGGAGAATCTTCCTCGGCCAAAAAAAAAAGAAAAAAACAACAGTTGTACCTATTTATTGTCACAATATATTACGAAGGTTTGTTGGCAAACAGCTAAGATAAACATTGAATTATGATTTAAATGAGGGAAATATACAGTCTCATGCATCATTGAAACCACTGAGTTTATTCAAATTTTTATGCAGAAGGATTTATTAGCATCGATGCCATTCATGAATATTTCTCATCACTGCAAGACTGGAGGAGGCAGGAGTGCTGTTCAGCGCTGGGTTCACGATGCACAGGAACGAGGACTCAGCAAGCCTCAGCAAACGGCAGATGTGATGGGCTGACAGGGGCACTGCAGCGGCTCCTGCAGCTAGCAATTTGGTCACTCCCAGAATCAGTGTCCAGACCTGCTCAGCCTGCGGCAGGGTCCAGAGGTGACACAGGAAAGGGAATGTGCTCAATCTGGAACTGGTCATTATAAGACACTCCTGGTAAGATGGTTTCGTGTCTAGACCTAACTCTTACCCATCAAGCAGCATCATTCCTGGAGCTGAGACGGGGCACTGGTGGGACGTGCCCACACAAAGGCCACCCCTCTTCCCCACCTGCAGCAGCACGTGGTTCCACGCGGCCCCCACTCCACAGGTCCCTCTGTTCACACCGTATTTCTAGTGCGGTGTTATCCAGCTATGAAGTCTAACGAAGTGTACAACTTTAGGTTGACAAAACCTTTCTTCTGAGATATTACGTACTTTACAAGGCTTGGAGAGTTGGTCTGAAGCTACTGCAGGTATGTGAAGAAACGAGGAAGAAGCCCTGGTGGAGAGGGCTGTGGAGGAACGAGAGGGACTGGGGCAGGCGTCTGCTTAGGATCTGGTGCTCCTGAACTTGAGGCCCCCAGACTCCCCGCAGAGGCCTCCCTCCAGAGGACTCCAGCTCATTTGATGAGATTCCTCATGATGCTGAGGGAAGACCCTCTATACCCTGATCCGAAATGATTCCAGTGGTTCAAATAGTGAAAGAGCTGATACAGCCGAAGGCGCTTCTCAAACCCTGGAGCCTTGGGGATTTTGCTGTGGTAGGCAGAGTAGAAGGAGCCACTAAAGCCTCCAAACATGCCTGCTATGGCCAGCTCATACTCCGAGTGGCCATAGAAAGAAGCCGGATCAAAAATGATGGGCCCAGAGGAATCTTCTGCTACATTTCCTGCCCAGAGGTCTCCGTGGAGCAGGGCTGGGACAATGTCCAGATCCCGGAACAGGTCAGGGATCTTTAACTGCAGGGAGGAAATGCAGACTCAGCAAAGTGACCAATACGTGTGGGAGGGACGCAGGCACTCTTCTAAGTGTGGCTCCACGTGCCCAGGCAGAGCACGGCACACAGATGCACATGGACACACACAGCTCAGGCAGGGACGAAGGACACCAACAGCCACCCTACTGG